GTTATCAGTTATTCACCCACTCCGTCCTAGTTACTAGTGTTCCGTTTTTCGTTCTCGGTTTAAGTTTTAGTAAACGACGAACCCCTACGGCGAGCGGGATTGGTGCAGCGCCATATAGAGTCCCCTAGTGGCATTTGACAATTCCAAAATTACCTATTGCATACAAGGGTATTGTATGTCCCGTCTTGAGCTTTCTAAATTTATAATGTACACCAAACATGAGGAAACGCAACAAATAAGCTTCACTTTATTTTAACAGTGCCAATTAACTTCATGTCTTTCCGTTGGTATGTAGTTGGATCGATGCTTCGCTTCATCCGTGCTCCTTGGAAAACTTTGTCAATTATGTGTAAGAGGATAACATGCTTTAACTTCTACACTTCGGTGCTAAGCATCACTATGGGAAAACAAACACGGCTCTGAATATTTTGTGTTCTTTCTTGAGCTTTCAGAGCCCCTGATTGTCCTAAAAAGGAGGATAAAAATATAACAGAAGAGAAATGATAGGAATATTTTGAAACTTGAAAATGCCCCGCCAATTCGTCAAACCATAGTCTTCCTATGGAGGAAGTTTCTTATGTGTTCTTGTTGGTAAATTTCTGCTCCTACTTGAGCATTGCATTGGTAAAACTTGAGTTGGAAACTCATAATTATTGTCGATCTAGGTCAGGTATTTATGTTGTTTCTGCATGTGCCATGTGATGATTGTGTGGTGATGTTTGCCCTGACTCGAACAATGGATGTGCTTGCAGTGTAATATGTTAAAAAATCTGATTTCTGTGTTTCAGCACATAAGAGAACACTTTAAGCTGATTTATTCTGCATGAAATTTCCTTATTAGCAAGCTCAATAGTCTTTATAGTGGATATTGGACTCGGTTGTTCTGAGAGAGTCGGCACTATTATTTCCTTGATAAATATTCACCTTGATACTCATCTTTGTGTAACCTGTCGAAGGATCTATTGCTAGTTTTGCAGTACCTTGAAGATAGATGGCAATTTTGGCCTCTTTGAAATATGAGTGGCTACCTTTGTCATCAGGTATCCTGTGGGTGGGAGATGATCTGATGGATTTACCTTTTTTAAATTGTGGGTTTGAATTGTGTAACAGCAATCTATGAATTATCCTTTAGCCACTATGAAGATCAATTCGTAAAATAATAAGTGTTTTGTGTGGTTCTACATTACTTGTAGTATCTCTTTGAATTAATTTATGTATTTTTTGCCTGCTAATTTCACCTATATGCAGGCTGTGGCAGGATTTATGTCTCAAGCTGTGGAGAGATCAGTGTCCTTCAGCCCCTCTCAAATGGTTCTTACCGCTGGTGCAACTCCTGCGCTTGAGATACTGAGCTTCTGCCTAGCTGATCCTGGAAATGCGTTTCTTGTTCCCTCACCATATTATCCCGAGTGAGTATTTTCTCTCTTTTAAAGATATTTCAATCTTTTTGTCATTTTACTTATTTATTGTATGAAATGAACTCAACACGTCTGCAGTCTTGATAGGGATGTCAAATGGCGAACTGGGGTGGAGATTATACCTGTTCCTTGCCGCAGTGCAGACAACTTTAGCTTGAGCATTGATGCTCTTGACCGAGCACTTAATCAAGCTAAGAAACGTGGTCTTAAAGTACGAGGCATTATTATTTCTAACCCCTCAAATCCCGTTGGCAATCTGTTCACTAGGGAGACACTTTATAACCTCTTAGATTTTGCAACTGAGAAGAACATCCACGTAATATCCAATGAAATCTTGGCTGGGTCTTATGGAAGTGAAGAGTTTGTCAGCATAGCAGAGATAATTGATTCTGAAGATTTTGACCGGAACAGGGTCCACACTGTCTACGGTCTCTCTAAGGACCTGTCTCTTCCTGGTTTTGGGGTGGGGGTCATCTATTCTTGCAATGAAAATGTTCTAGCTGCTGCAAAAAAGTTGACAAGATTCTCATCCATTTCAGTGCCAACACAGCATTTGCTTATTCAGATGCTATCAGATGCAAAATTTATGCAACAATTTATCAAAAAGAATAGAGAGAGGCTTAAAAGGATGTATTCTCTGTTTGTTAGTGGATTGAAGCAGCTGGGAATTGAGTGCACCAAAAGTAGCGGGGGCTTCTACTGTTGGGCTGACATGAGCAGGTTGATTCGATCGTATAGTGAAAAGGGGGAGATTGAGCTTTGGGATAAGCTACTAAATGTAGCTAAGATCAATGTAACTCCTGGTTCTTCCTGCCACTGCGTTGAACCTGGGTGGTTCAGGTTATGTTTTACGACCTTAAGTGAGAAGGATATTTCCAGAGTTATGCAACGTATTCAGAAAGTTTTGGAGATGCGCAGGTCTCTGAGTTAAGTTGCTAATCACACGATCCTTTACTCATAGTCAACCGTAAGCCAAAACTTTGGCAGGGATGAGGTCACACATGAGATAGCTTTGAATGGTTCAACTTGGTGCTCAATGTTCTGATAATGAGATCAGGATGCAGCATCTGGAACCAAATGCAGAGAAAACCAAAAATGTCAGATTGTAATGCAGAGGATTTGTCAATTGTGTACTTGGTCCTCTCCCACGCCATTCGCAAATGCGTTCCTCCAAGTTTTTGTGGGGTTTGACCTGCCTCGGGGTTCCAGAGATTGTAGACAGGTGAATTAGCAATCAGCATTGATGCAAGGGCAAGCATATAGCATGTAGAAATTGGTATCAAATGAAATTCTTTTCCAAATTTAATGTGCATAGTCAATAAGTATGGTCTGAAAGCTTATTTTTCTTTTTATTCCCCCTTGTTGTATAGTTACAGGTACATGTACCGACTCATTATTTGTTCACATTCATTCTTGTGTTAGTAGTAGATAATGTTATTTGAGAAATGAATTGATTTCTTACATCCAGGTTTGTTGATTTGGACATCAAAATAGTTAGTCAAAGAGGAGAAAGATGTTATATGCTTCCTTTGATAGCTTGAAGAATCAAGTTATTGCTCATCTTGTGTTAATATCTGGCTCATTAATGCTGCATTCTAGCTCCAATGGAGCCTTTTGGGCCTAGACTGGTCACCAATTGGAAATTGCCTCTCTATTTTATTTATTAATTAATTGGTAAAAGTGAATGGATTACAAGATCATATGGTTCTAAAAAGTAGTTATCAACCTGCATATGAGATCAAAATGACTTGGCAACTTACAGGAAAAGAATGGCTTTATTGTAAACTTACAATGACCAATTGATTAAAAGAATCACAAATCAAATACAAAAGAATCTTCTATTTGTACCAAAAGCAGCCACTTCCTAATTACT